CACCTGCAGTGAATGTTTGGTTGGAAGCTGCTATCGGTGGTGGTGGTGTGTGAAGTAGGAGGCGGTGCAGCTGTATCTGTTCTAAATAAATTGTGTGTTCTCAGGTGGAGGCGGAGCTGCTGCTGCTGGAAGTGACGCCGCAGACAAGAAGGCTCAGACGCCAAAAGGTGGAAATGCTGTCAAGGTAAAATCGTCTTTGAATGGAGACCTTGTGATAGAGGCGTGGCCAGAACTGTCCCATAGAGATCCCTGAGAACATGGGGGGAGGGGAGGGCTATCACTCCCATCATCAGTGAACACCATGGGGGGAGGGGCTATCACTCCCATCATCAGTGAACACCATAGTATAGTGCGGTGACAGGTCCTCTTTAGAGAGACATCAGGGGTCTCAGAAAGTCTCCCATCTGCTGCTTGCCAAGTCACTGCCGCTGGGATTCTGTCAGTTTTAGTTGGCGCATCCTTTGTGAAGATCTGCCCCACCCCCATCAACAGGTTGGCAGCAGACTTGCAGTGACACAAAAAATTGGGGCGGCCCTGTCTACAGACCCACCCCCCAATATCACACTAGTCCCAAGGAAACATGGGGCATGGAGGTGACATACAGCTGCTCACCGGACCCTCTTGCTGGCGTCCGGCCACAGCAAGACTGTGACACTTGTGATGTCCCAAGTACAGCACACTGCAGCTCACAGCTAGAAAAGGAAATGGGGGGAGGGGGGAATCAACAATGTTATGAAATGGTGTCTGGATCCCGGCGGGTTCACCTTTTAAGCATTGGTCTTGTACTGTGAGTGAAGTATTCCAGAAGGTTTATTGTTTGGTGCGTTTTGTTTTTCAGGTGAGACACGTCCTGTGTGAAAAGCATGGAAAAGTCATGGAGGCCATGGAGAAGCTGAAATCCGGAGTGAGGTTTAGTGAAGTGGCGACTCAGTACAGTGAGGATAAGGCCAGGCAAGGGGTAGGTGACGGCTTCAGGGTGTATGTTGTTATAAAAGGGAACCTGTCCCTTGACCCTCAAGGCATTGATCAGAAGGAGATGGAGAGATACAAAGTAACATTGTATATAAACATTGATCAGAGGGGAGATAGAGATACAAAGTAACATTGTTTATAAACATTGATCAGAGGGGAGATAGAGATACAAAGTAACATTGTTTATAAACATTGATCAGAGGGAGATAGAGAGATACAAAGTAACATCGTTTAGAAACATTGATCAGAGAGGATAGAGAGATACAAAGTAACATTGTATATAAACATTGATCAGAAGGAGATAGAGAGATACAAAGTAACATTGTATATAAACATTGATCAGAGGGGGAGATAGAGAGATACAAAGTAACATTGTTTATAAACATTGATCAGAGGGGAGATAGAGAGATACAAAGTAACATTGTATATAAACATTGATCAGAGGGGAGATAGAGAGATACAAAGTAACATTGTATATAAACATTGATCAGAGGGAGATAGAGAGATACAAAGTAACATTGTATATAAACATTGATTAGAGGGAGATAGAGAGATACAAAGTAACATTGTTTATAAACATTGATTAGAGGGAGATAGAGAGATACAAAGTAACATCGTTTAGAAACATTGATCAGAGAGGATAGAGAGATACAAAGTAACATTGTATATACACATTGATCAGAGGGGGAGATAGAGATACAAAGTAAAACTGTGTATAAACATTGATCAGAGAGGAGATAGAGATACAAAGTAACATTGTTTATAAACATTGATCAGAGGGGGAGATAGAGAGATACAAAGTAACATTGTTTATAAACATTGATCAGAGAGATACAAAGTAACATTGTTTATAAACATTGATTAGAGGGAGATAGAGAGATACAAAGTAACATCGTTTAGAAACATTGTTCATTTTTTGCAAGACAATATCACAAAAAGCCTTGTTCATCCTGAAAAAAATACACATAACTTTATTATCATAAACAATCACAAATGTATTGTCTATTC